GAGGGACGGTGGGGACGGAGGAGGGAGCTGAGTGGGTGACGCCGTGGACACGGTGAGGGACGGTGGGGACGGAGGAGGGAGCTGAGTGGGTGACGCCACTGTGAGGGACGGTGGGGACGGAGGAGGGAGCTGAGTGGTGATGCCCTGGCCACTGTGAGGGACGCCTGGCCTTGAGTGACAGCGGGCCAGAGGGGAGGTTCCAGGAGGCAAAGCCCCACAGTCACCCCTCCTGAGCCGTACACTGGATGGGCCTGGTGTTCAAGGTCCATGGGGACACGGACGCTGAGGCCACCTCCAGGTAACACCCACCCGGCCCTGCCCTTGCAGCCCCACAACGTACTTGTAGGTTGGAATGTTCCAGAGGCCCTGCCACTTGTAGGTCTTCAGGGATAGCCACTCGAGGGTCTTCATGCCGCAGTAGATGCCCAGCCCGTTGCAGACAAGCACATCCATGATCCACTGGGGGCAGGGGGCAGCAGGTGTGGGAGAACGCCCACCGAGGACCCCGCAGGGCACAGGGGGCCCCAGAATGCCCCCAGGCCTGCACCCACTGCCCCGGGGGCCATGCCGGGCACCTACGTGGTCCCACCAGCACTCGCTGAAGTTGGGCAGCTGGTGCTCAAGGCTATACTCCAGGAACTCAAACATGACGCTCACGATGATGCACATCCACCAGTCCCGGATCATCAGCGTCTGCGGGCACCGTGCGTCGGGCACTGCCTCAGCCAGCGCCTCAGCCAGCGTGCAGGCCCGGCCACAGTGCACGTGGCCCCCAACCCTGCTGGCAGCGTCCTCGGGGTCCACAGCACAGGCAGGGCCCCCAGTGAGGTCTCTGGGTGAGCGTGGGGTGAGTGGTCCCCAGTGAGGTCTCTGGGTGAGCGTGGGGTGAGTGGCGCCCAGTGAGGTCTCCGGGTGAGTGTGGGGTGAGTGGTCCCCAGTGAGGTCTCCGGGTGAGTGTAGGGTGAGTGGTCCCCAATGAGGTCTCGGGGTGAGTGGTCCCCAGTGAGGTCTCGGGGTGAGTGGTCCCCAGTGAGGTCTCGGGGTGAGTGGCCCCCAGTGAGGTCTCTGGGTGAGCATGGGGTGAGTGGCGCCCAGTGAGGTCTCTGGGTGAGCGTGGG